TCTATCTATCTATCTATCTATCTATCTATCTATCTATCTATCTATCTCTCTCTCTCTCTCTCACACACACACACACACACAGAGAGAGAGAGACAGAGAGAGAAACATAACTCTCATACCTATATGCACACCATTCATACAGGAAAAAAGGAAAGAGGAGAAGAGAGAAGGAAGCCATCCCCGAGAGGCCCAATAACAAAATGGCATTAATGTTGAGCTGCAGCGCCCTCTAGCCTCCGCCACAGGAATGGCAAGAGGGTTATAGGGAGCATTGCCTGCTTGGAAGAGACTGGAAGGCAAGCTCTGACCCAGAAAGGTGCAAGATACAGCTCAAATCAGACTTGATGTGTCCTTTCTTTTACCCACGGTGTGTCTGTCATTCCTTTGAGGATAGCCCAGCATAGAGTCACTGAGCTTGAATCAGGTCCAAATCTTCTCAGTTCCAACCACGGTCTGGGGTCTATACTTTGATGCAAAGGCTTGCTCACACAGAGTGACCTACCAGGATTTTCCTCGATGTCCCTAGCCTGGGGAAGATATGCCCTGGCCTCCCAGCACCCCTGAAAACTGGAAGGGCTCATGGCTGTCTGTCCCCACTCATCCCATGCTCTCTCACGGGGGCTGAAGGTTTATCAGAGCTGGTAATGGGGAGTCCTCAGACATCTCTGGTCAGAGCTGGCAGCTGGGGCCAGGTCTCTGCTGAAGTCCTCTGGCCCTTTGTCCTAAGGGGTCTCACCTAACCCTAGCAAATATGTTCATGTTAGGATCATCCTAGCAGCTGCCTGTTGGGATCTGAGCCCAGCTCCTGATGTTGGCACTGCCCCTAGTGGCTGGGGTCTGTCAGCCTAGGTACCTGGCTGCATTTCTTTATCTTCTGTGATCACCTGTCACACTTCTCCCCAGAGACTTCATGCAAACAGGACTCCTGTCCTAGGCATGCGGACCCTTTCTGGGCCCTTTCCAGGCCATAGCTTGGAACATTGTGTTGCAAATGCAAAGATGAAGAGTCTTCTAGGAATGAAGATGATCATGCTCTTGAAGGTTCTGGAAGCTACAAGGCAAAACCCCTTGCCCTTTTATCATTTCCATTGCCATGTCACCACAGCTGTCTGCCTAACTTGGAGGGATCTGGTGTGTGAGTAAGCCTCTATCAACAACAACCAAGCAGACACTTGCCTTGAGAAAGCTTCTTTATTTAGTTTGCCATGTTGTATGAAAAGACTGCTATTGACACTACAGTTCAAGAAAATCAGCCATACATGGGGTGAAGGGAAGTTCTATCTAGAGAAAGCCCAGCTGCCGCCATTGTCTGGCTCACAGTTGTGTGGGAATGCAGACATTGGTCTCTTTTTCCTATGACATTCTTCCCAGCCTTTGGATCCTGCGAGAATTCCCACCACCCCCATTCTCCTCTGCCACTTCATCGCACTTTGATATGCATTTATGACAAGGAAAACCTAGTCACAGGGAGTGCCAAGCATTGCACACTCATTTCTTCCACCTTTTCTGGGAATCTGTGCTCATGGAGCCAATGTCTGGGTGTGTTTTGAGTCACATCTTAGTGCTTAGAGATTGGCCACGGGCAATGCGTCTCCTCTTTTTTAGTGTGAAGGCTGCCACAGCTAGGACCATGGCCAGGAAGATTCCACCAAAGATGGCAGCCATGGGATAGACTGCCTGGGAGCTGGCTGGCTTCTCCACATCCTTCACTGCCAAGTCTGAGAGAAAAACAGAGTATGATGATAGAGTGGGGATCACACACACCACAGAAAAAGGCAGGGAGGACAAGAAATACAGTGGTCCTGGTCAGAACTCTTCAATGGGGAGGGATAAAGAAATGGGAGGAGGAACTCGGACCTGAGCCTTGAGAGAACAGTTCTAGACTGGGTCTGTAGACAAGTGGCAGACTACCGACAAACACACACACACACACACACACACACACACACACACACACACAGCAGTCACAATTAATTCAGGCTGCCTGAATTTCCATGCCCTGCCCAGCTGGTTAATCAAAACACCTGTCACCATTGTGATGAGGAGTAATATTACCATTGATTACGTTAACAACAAAAACCACAGTACGTTCATCAAAAACCCAGCCACTTGCCCCAAACAAGGACCAGGGAAGTTTAATGAACAAGCAAGCCCTCTTAAGAGTCCTAACAGACATTATCCCTCTCACTTTATAGTTGAAAATTCTGGGCGCTCCAAACCCAGGGAATCAAGCTGTCCAGGTCACAAATCTCTCGCTAACCACCTACATGGGACCTTAAGTCTTGGGGGAAGGCAGCAAACCAGGCCTAATACACGGATTGGTGCGCAGTCTGGGCTGGCCCATAGGGCAGACAAAAGCATTTCAAATCCCCCAGCACCGTGGGCCCCAGCGGAAGGTAGGATCTCAGGGTTACCACCTACCCAGGTTCCTCTTGTCTTTGCTGGGGGGTTGCAGCAGGATGGGTCCCAGGACAACGTCCACCTTTTCCTGGTAGGACCCTGCGTCCCTCTTGGACCTCACCACGCAGCCCCTGTTGCACCGGGAGGAGGCGTCGTACGCTCTACACACCACCAGTTTACACTGCAGGTACACTGAGGGGAAGCGGTTCAGGAAGTGGAAGGAATTGAACTTGAAGCGGGAGACTCGAGGCGAGGGCGAGGAGTAGGTCCAGTAGGTTTCATCCTTTACGCATCTGGAAGTGAGGAGAGGAGCCCGTCAACTTGCTGAGGCACAGACTCACCTTAACTCCCTTGCACTCAGTAGTCATGCTGGCTGCCTGGGCCTCCGGTGCCACCATTGTGAGCTGTGCACACATGTCCCGGCAGCTCTGGTACCTTGCCAGCACGTTGACCCAGCAAAATCCCCTGCCATGATGATGAGCTCAGTGTGCCCATGTAACCAGGGAAGGTGAGAAGGCTGCTCAAGTTTGGAGTCCAAGAGCAAGCCAGAGGCATGGCAGGAAAGGAAATAGCTTCTTCTCCCCTCTCCTGGTCACTCAGCCTCACAAGGTGACATTCAGACTTAGGCTGAACACCTGTGCTCCCTGCCCCTTGTCTCCTAGGGTCTCTCTGCTGAGCCCCTCACCAGGCCTGGCCTACTCCCGTGCAACTACACCTCCATGATGTCAAGTTCTAAGACGACATCTCCATGTTGGCGAGTTCTCTCTAAGACCCTAAGCCAGTATCCAGCACTTCCTCTTCCCTCGGGCACCTTGTCTGTGCTGATCATAGAAAGCCGCCAATCCCCTTAGGGAATTCCCCTGAGAAGTGCATGGGGACAATCCATGTGCATTTAAAATAGTGACGCTTAAGTGATGCGGTGAAATAGAAACAAGAAAAACTGGCCCGGGCTCGAGGACAGGAATGCTTCTTCGGTGGACTGTCCCAGGGCAACCTGGCTCTCCCAGAAGGTTAGCTCTGTGTCTGCTTACCCTCTTTCTCCTCTCTCCCAGAGCTTACTTCCTGTTTCTACCTTCAACTCAACTGCCCTGAAACACCCAGCTTCTTTTTCTTTACTGCAGCCCTATCAGCATTCCAATCGAAAGGGTACCTAGAGGCTTGTTCGAATGGAGCTGGGGCATTTGATAGAACTGGAGTGGGAACAGGGGCGGGTTGGAGGTAAGATTGGAAGAACTCTGAGCAGGCCCACCCGGAAGTCTATTCTCAGGGGCCTCTCCATGGACGGTGCTGTAGCTAGTGAGTCCCTGTGCAACAGGCTCAGTCGGCATCACAAATGGCAGAATGTCACCACGATGAAAAACTTGCATTCCTAGCAGATAGGGGATGTGAGGGCCCTCTGCACCTGTGATACAGTAAACCTCTAGGCCACCTGCTGGGTATGCTGTGCCCTCGGGGCCCATCATTCTTTTTCATTTAACCCAACATCTACTCCTTGCCACTATCTCCAGTTAACTTGGGGCACAGAAACTGGCCCAGAGATGTACGTATTTTAGTTTGGGTCTGCTCTCGAATCAATGCTCTTCTCATGACACACTCATGGTTTCAGAGACTTGTGACTAGAGAGCTAGCCCCAGCTTATAGCCGTCCAGTTGAATCACCACTGTTAGCAGGAGACGGTGCATAATTACCCATCCCCTTAATCAGGAATGTGACCCAGGGAAGAGCGAGAAGGCTCCTCCAAAGGCAAAAGCCACGGGTAGAAAATGATCTAAGCTTGAACCCATGCGAAGTTCAGCTAGCCCAAAGTCTGCATTCCCTGGGCTTTCTGGCTACCCATGTGTGAGCTATAAAGGAAAAGTTTGCATCAGAAGGAACACAGAGAAGTCCTTACCCACTCCGGATGAGATCATACTTCAAAGAGGTGAAGTCGTTGGGGTGTGGTGAAGCCACACAGGTGTCCACAAACAAAGCCAAAGAGGCATCAGAATGGAAGATTTCAGCCTGAAGGTACAAATTCTGGTCCAGACCCACATAGTATGGGCTCCTGGTCACTGGGTACAAGAAGGAGGAGGATGTATAAAAGGAAATGTTCACGTCGAAATTGCCGTACTGGACTTCCTGGACCTCGACGGTGTTGTTGGTGATATACATGGTGTTGACCCAGGTGTTCTGAAGCATCTTGCAGCTGATATGGATGTGGAGGTCCCTTTTCCTTTTGATGATGCCACTTGAAACAGCCGCTGTGAGGAAGTTGGAGTAGTTGATGGTATCATTGTCGACCTACCAGGGGAAAGCAGATCAGATCAGTGTTGGGTTAGAATGAGGGGGAAATGACTCAGCAAGACTCTTGCAGAATCATACAGATGGCACCTGTCTTCTTTGCACCCGCTCTCACCTAGGATGGGTGTCAGCTTAACCGGCAAACTCTCCCCTACTCTCCCACATTCTCCAGCACATGGTGGAGGCCGTGATAATCTGCACGTGTTGCTCTTCGCTGTGGCTCTGAATGAGGATCCTGGACAGCCCCTTGCCTGCAGTGCATCTGACCAGGCTCAGACCCCCTAGTTCAGGACTCAGAGCTGGGTGTTCTGATCCTATTTCTCACCATCACTGGTCTCGTACTTATGAGACAGGCCTGGTGATATTGGCATAGAGTGCTTCCTGTTTTGAGCGACTGGAGACTTCCTCAGTGTGGGGACTGGCACAGCGGAAGCTGGAAGCCATGAGAGGTGCAGTTATAACTGAAGCAGGTCTTGACCCCAGAGCCTCACGTGAGCAACTGAATGGGGTTATGGCAACCCCAGGGCCATTCCTGCATGCACTCATTATACTATGGAACCCTTCGCCACTGTGACTTCCACTGGGCAGCAAACTCATGAGGAGGCTGGTGTCTTATGCCTTTTACTGTATCTACCATCTACTGAGAGCTGCCTTGCCAGTAGCTTTACGCCTGGGTTCTGTGAGCATCTGAAGGAGAGAGTTGTGTCAAAAAAAAAAGTCTCTTTTTTTTTCTTGACAACAGCATAAGTAGCGTCTGTAAATATCTACGAAGTGAATGAAGCGAGTTCCCAGAAGTACTGAAACAAGCAGAGGACGTGGCAAGGAGGTAACGGCCCAGTGGCCAAGAGGACACACTCAAACAGTTATTCCTGGAAGCACAATGCTAGTGACTGTCTGGCTCCAGGGAGGAAAGCACAGGTGCACCAGGCTGGGGCTGTGGAGCTCTTCACAAACTGAGTGCCATGATGCTCTTCTCCCTGCCCTGCATGTTTAGAGCTCTGTATGCTGGAAACATACATGTGTGGGCAGGAGAATAATAGCATGGTGGTGTGAACAGCATCCAGAATTTAAAGCAAACTGTATTCTTCATAGTGGGAAAAAAAGGCAGGGCAGGGCAGGGCAAGGCAGGACAGGAAGAGCACGCACAGACACACACAGAGAGAAAGAGAAAGAGAGCTTCCCACTGTAGTCATATGGACTGTGAAGGGTGAAACTCTACTTTAATTAGTTGGGACCTGAACAAGGCCCCCTGTGTTGCCAGCACTTACACAACTTACATATAATTACTTTTTTGGAGTAGAGAGCCTTCTACTTCTCTACTGCTGAGAACTCCACTCTGCATGTGTGCCTTCCAGAAAAACTTATCATGAGACAAGAGCTTTTGCCTAACCTCTTTGACCCTTCCCTTGTCATCTCTAGTCTGACATTGCCCTCCACAGACAGCAGAGCCCAGGGCAGGGCCAGCCTGGTCGACAGAGTGCTTCAGAGCCTGCACTCCAGACCTACGTCTGGGAAAGAACCAACAAAAAGAACTCTTGCTCTTCATGTTCTCAGGGGAAGCACATTGCATTTCTCCCGTAAATTCTCCAAAGTTTTTAAACATTATATTTTGGTACCAATGGTGTTATAAGCCACAAAGGTTTTTCAAATTATATTTGATATGAGTATATTCACAAAGCTCCTATTTGTCTCTCTGTGATAGAGCTCAGTTCTGAGTCTTTTCTAAACCATAAACACAGAGGGCAAACTTATTTCTTGATCTGAAGGTGCTATAATGACTCTAGATTAAAATTCTTGCTTAGCCACCTGCCCGGGTGGAAAGACAGCCAATATGACAAAAAAGTCCTGTATGTGAATCTACTGACATTCCTAGAGAGGCCTGGGCTCTCGCTGTCCTGGCATGCCTTTCACTGCTAGAAAGCTCATCTGTTCTATGACACCAGCCAAAATATCACCCTCCCACTGTGTGGCAGCCTGGGAGAGCCATGAGCATCTCCTGCTCCACAGCACACTGGCTCCACATCTTATGAGTATGTGGCCTTGGACACATTGTTCAGCTCCCCCAGACCTTTATCTCTTCTGATTAAGCTTGGATAAAGGCACCCTGAAGTCATGGAGAAGTCTCAATGCAGGGCCTGGCCCATATAAAAGTTATTGACACTACCACAAAGTCTTGGGCTCTGTACCAGGTCACCAAGCATGGCAAATCAAATAAAATTATCCCTGCCTCCGAAGCACTCAGTTTGGTAGGTGACATGACTGCTTCATGAAAGCAGTATGTGCTACCCAGGTTCATTCAAGTTAGAAGAGGCACAGCTGGCATGCTGGTTAGATGGCCTCAACAGCCTATGACTCGCCACCAGCAAGCTGCTGAGATGTCTGATGCTCCAGGCTGCTCATTTGGAAAAAGGAGCAGCAGTCACCGTCAGTGGGCTGACTCACAACAGGCTGAAATTCAACATGGTCAACCAACAGAGCAAAATGCAATAACTGTGCTAAATAAGCCACCTCCTTGGCCTGGCTGGTGTACATTCTTCTCCATGGAGTACGGAGTAGCCCATCTCACCCACCAAGTTCCTCTCAGAAGGAACAGGTCCTGTGTGTGTAACCTTACCAAGAGATCTGGGTGACCAGATCTCACACACAGCCATAGGAGGCACAAGGCCCTCCTGGTTGGCTGAGTGTCTGCTTCCTCTCTCAGTGTTTACTGTGTGTCAGAGGAATGGAAAGCAGTTTCTCCTCACACAATGGCTGGCATGTGTCTGGTGCATGAAAATTACAGGCAGCTGAGCTTGTATGTCCTGTACAGAACACCACAGTAAGACACACCACTTTTCCATTGCCCAAGCACCTCCATCCTGTCTTAAAAGTCACATCCTCCAACCTAGAAGCAGGCCAGCCATGGGAACCTTTTCCATATTGCACAGTTATTCCTTTTTGCTAAATTTAGTATGAATGGGGTATTTCTAATAGTAATATACATATAATTTATGTATAAATCTTCTGTGTCTGGCTCCTTTTTTAGTAGAATGTTTCTGAGATTCTTGCTTTGTCAGTTCTATCCCATTGGTCTAAACTGCTTTGGGTAATGGGCCTGACCTCTCTTAATTCAATCTCCTCACTTCTAAGGTGAGGTGACAGTACAAGAATATTTGCTAAGAGTTTGGGAGTAGCAGAGTGCAGAAGGAGAGATGAAAGACCTGGAGGGTACAGGAGCTCCACAAGGAGAGCAACAGAACCAAAAACTCTGGGCACAGGGGTCTTTTCTGAGACTGATACTCCAACCAAGGACCATTTATGGAGATAACCAAGAGATCTGGGTGACCAGATCTCACACACAGCCATAGGAGGCACAAGGCCCTCCTGGTTGGCTGAGTGTCTGCTTCCTCTCTCAGTGTTTACTGTGTGTCAGAGGAATGGAAAGCAGTTTCTCAGATGTTTATGGCAGCTCAGTCTCCAAGTGGGTGCCCTACTAAGAGGAACAGGGACTGTCTCTGATATGAACTGATTGGCCTGCTCTTTTATCACCTCCCCCTGAGTGGGGAGCAGCCTTACCAGGACACAGAGGAAGACAATGCAGCCAGTCCTGATGAGACCAGATAGGCTAGGGTCAGATGGAAGAGGAGGAGGACCTCCGTATCAGTGGACTGGGGGAGGGTCATGGGAGGAGAAGAAGGAGGGAGGATGGGATTGGGAGGGGACGAGGGAGGTAACTACAGCTGGGATACAAAGTGAATAAATTGTAATAAATAAAAAAATAATTAAATTTTTTAAAAAAGAAAATAATTTGGGGGTAGGCAGGCATTACAGTGCAAGTCTTTAATCCCAACACTCAAGAGGCAGAGGTAGGCAGATCTCTGTGAGTTCAAAACCAGTCTAGTTTACAGAGCCATCAAGAACTACACGAACAGTTCCTGTTCCCATCACTAGGGAACCCTCTTGGGCACTGAGCTGCCATGGGCTACATCTGTGCAGGGGTTCTAGGTTATCTCCATGCATGGTCCTTGTTTGGAGTACTAGTCTCAGAAAAGACCCCTGGGCCCAGATTTTTTTTATTTTGGGGTTCTGTTGCTCTCCTCATGGAGCTCCTGTCCCCTCCAGGTCTTTCTATCTATCTCACTCTTCTTTCTTAAGATTCCCTGCACTCTGCCCAAAGTTTGGCTATGAGTCTTAGCATCTGCGGGAGAGGCATAGGAGAAGAAGAGGAAGGGAGGGTGGGATTGGGAGGGGACGAGGGAGGAGGGCTACAGCTGAATAAACTGTAATTTAAAAATAAATAGTTTTTTTTAAATCAAAAAAAGAACTACATGGAGAAACCTTGCATCAAAAAATAATGAGAAAATAAAAAAAGATTTGGGGAATATAACATAGCATCTTCCACTGACAGGATGACAGCAGTCCCAGCTTGCCCAAGACTGGTGTTTTCCTGAGATAGAGGACAGTCTACACTAAAATCACCAGGTCTCAGGCAAACCCATGGGGGTGACTTCTCTACTGGCTACATCCAGCCCATGGGCCACGTCACTCAAAACACTGAGGGGGTACGCCCTTTTGTCAGTCAACATGCAGTGCTTCAGGGTGAATTTTGTAGATGCCAATGCCGTGGTACAATGTTAAAAGGTTAGCCACCCCTACTGTTGGCCCGCTAAGAAATGACAACTGGTCATTTCTTGACAAATGACAAATGGCAACCAGGTGAGTGTGAAACTCAGCAGGGCACTGGCTTCCCCAAAGACACAGTAATGTGTTTGACCACTATTAGCTGTTGTAGAACTCAAGTAACGCCTGCTTGTGTCTCTGGTTTCGGGGCCTCTGCATCTTTCACACACCCCATGTGAAACTGTAGAAGCTCCAGACTTTGTAAAATCTCAAGCTTTTCCTGGGAGCTGGAAGTCTGGGTAAAGTCCTGCTGGGTGCTGTCTCTCCTGGACACTGCTGTGGAAGCTGCCTGGCTTCCCCTCTCCTCCTCCTCCTCATCCCTCCTATTGGGAAGCAGCTGTGGCTACTGTACCAGAGGCTTCTGCCTCCATTCACATGAATTATGTTCTGATCACATCACAGCCATAGCTTGTAGACCCCCAGAATTGTGGAAGCGCAGCAGCCGTCACTGTGATAAATCATACTCAGGGCTGTTGAGATGGCTCAGTGGGTAGAGGAACTAGCTACCAAGCCTAACAATCTGAGTTCTAGTCCCAGGACTCACAAGGCAGAAGGAAATAACCAACTCCTATAAACTGTCTTTTGACCTCCATATGTATGCAGTCGTGTGTATGTGTGTGTGTGTGTGTGTGTGTGCGTGCGCACACACACACACACTTTATTTATTGAAAGAAAGCATGCTCAATAGGAAATAATAGAGTAGGCGGGGCCCAGCTTACCTGTTTGGTAGTGCCACAGCCTGTGTAGGGAATAGTGAATGTGACCTGCTGCTGTGTTATCTGGGGCTGACACCGGTAACTTGCATTAAAACCAGGAATGCCAATATCCCTAGCAGAATAGCCCAAGGACTGAAGGTAGCTCCTGCTCACACTGGCTTGCATGTGATTGGACAGACAAAGGAGACCTGAAGGACAAGAGCAGAGCATGCATCAAGTCAGGATTCCAAACCCACAGCTTCATGAGGGTGTTTTCCAGGTAAAGACACACAGGTCAAGACAGATGATGCACACACGAGGAACAGGCTCTCAAGAGCATCACCATGGCCCCAAGGGTAACCTATGGCTAAAGTCAGCCTCATCCTCAGACACACCCAGTCAGGGCAATTAGATGTATAGGATTTTCTGGTATGGAACTGGAGAAAGGGTTTTAAATATCCAAAACATTTTTTTGTCAAGTTAGCATTTTCTCATGAAGTAAAGCAACTGTACAATAAGACAGTAGTTGTGCCATTAGGTAATGTCCTTTAGCTAAGGAGAAAGTTGGTGTCTCTGATCCTGATAGAGTAAGAGACTGTGGATGTCACCATGCTCAACCCTTAGCCAGTGTAGATGCACGTTCTCATCTCAAACTGGGGCCATATAACCTCTGTTACAGTGGCTATATTAAGATGTCCAATTTTGTTTATCTTCAGACAGAAGCCAAATGTGTTAGGTATCAGGACATGGCCAGTGACTCATACTCTGGAAGGGTCACAAACTTTCAAGCCTGGTGTCACCCGTAGCTCCTTCTGGCACTGTCTTTTCACTGTCTGTTGAGAATATTGTCTTATACAATATTCTTCTTATTCTTTGCCAACCACAGTAAGGCCAGTACAACTCTCATCAGCCATTGCTGGCCCTTGGCCCTCTTTTGAACATGCAGAGACCCAAGACACACCGTACACAGTCTCGCAACTGGCAACATGGGAAATCAGTCACGGGGGCCACAGTTGGGGGTGGGGTTCTAATAGTTTATGTTACAATCCCAGGATGGTACAGGAGCAGAAGGCTGTCAGCAATGTGCCCAGTCCCAGTGAGTCTTCATTCTAACAAGGAAACTTACTGGTGGTGGTGTTGTCGGATTCCGAGTAGTACTCAGCCTGGAACCCTCTTCGAGTGATAATGTTATCAGTGATGAAGCGAATCGCCATGAAGTTGGATGTTGAGGTGAAAGAGCCCAAGACCCCATCACAAACCCGGGCAATGAGAGGAGAACTGTGGTGGGGGCCATCGAAAATCTCAATGTAATCATAGCTGCAGCCTCCTTCAAGCCTGAAGAGACAAAAAGAGCAGTTAACTTCTCTACTGTCCAGACGCAGATGAGGGCTCAGGCCTCAGTAACCTTTGCCATGGAAACTCTGACCATGTTCATTATTTGAAAGAATAAGTGACTTCCTTAAATCCAGGGAGATTTTTATCTTGCCAAAAACACCTTGACTTGTCTTCATATTGCCACCTAAGGTCAAATGCATGAGATCTGTAGTCTCGCTTTCTGAACCATCCTTTAAATGAACAAAGGAAGATCCCCACAGAAATCTTGATTTGTTCCTTCAAAGCGCTCTCAGGTCCCTTCCAGAATAAAACAATTATCAACAAATTCAGAGTGATAGAGATTAACAGGAAAAAAATAAACAGTGGATTCTCTAATGATTGGGTTTCTCATCTAAGGCCTGTCTCCTTCTCCCGTGAGATTAACAGTGTGCACTATGCATACTGAAGATGGTGGCGGTGATGTCCACATGGACACTGCAAAGGGGAAAAGGAGTTCATAAAAGGTCACAAGCAGTGGACACTACTTGGGGCACTTTCATGGCCATCTGGGCCACTTGCCTCCCAGAGTGACGTACATATTAACGGACCTTTAAGGACATCTTCTCTGCTCAAGAAACACATGGGTGATGAGAATTCTGCCATATGCAGCCAGCAACCCTGGCTTCTGAGGACCCACAAACGAAAGGGCTCGAGGAGGGAAGGGCTGTGCAAAACCAGGGCAATTGTATATTGTGCTCCCAAGACTATCATTACCCAAGCCACAAATCCTCCCTCCTGCTGAGAACGGTTCTGAGTATTTTCACATTCTCTGCTGCCTTCCTTGATCAACAAGATGAGGAAAGCAGGCATTCTAGCCCCTTTCTCTTGACTGAGGCTTGGGAATGTGGCATTCCATGGCCGCACAGCAACCTGCAACTTTAAGCCAGACTATTTTCAAATTCCTGTACTCTTGCACCCTTTCCCCCACCCTCGGTGCCACATCACATCTGGAACCCATATTTTACATGTTGCCTTGACTATCACCCCTTGAATTTCAAAGCACCCCACAGTGCCTCTCTAACACCTGCTCTCTGCTCTCACTTACTGCACATCTCTGAAGACCACAGTCACACGGTAGTTGTTGGGGACCTCAATGTTCCACAAACATCTGGCATTGTTAGGATAGTTCCCTGGGTAGTATGGGCTGGAAAAGCGTCCAGAGAGTTGGGTCAGAAAACCTCCACAGGTGTAATCTGCAATCAGAAAAGAGTGGAAATGTGATAAACCCCAGTTCACACCATATAACTACACCTGGCAGGATGAGGAATGTTTGATGCACTATCTAAGCGAGGAACCCTGTGACAGTTAGCCTAGCCTTGGCTCACTCACTGAAGCCTAGGGGGTTCTCTCTCTGTGTCTCTCTCTAGATATCTCTCTTTGTCTTTCTCTCTGTTTCTCTCTCTCTTTCTCTCTCTCTCTCTCTCTCTCTCTCTCTCTCTGTGTGTGTGTGTGTGTGTGTGTGTGTGTGTGTGTGTGTGTGTGTGATGGAATGTTCATTGGTGGTTGGGCACATGTACATAACTCAGATGTGTGTTTTGAGATAAGGT